AGGCAGGGTGACTGGAGCTTAAATATTTCTGGCTGGGCAGGGTCTGATAGTCGAGCTCCCTCGACGAAGAACTTCGCTCCGCTTTTACCCCTCCAAACTAGCCCTATCATGCCCGGAAGCTGAAATTGGTGTCCATCTCGTGGTGTTGACGTCTGCAACGTCTCCCGTTCGCACTAGTCCAATATGAGTGACAAGTCCGGTCTCCCGCTCACTAGTAACTTCGTGCGTCAATTTGTCAACGATGGTGTTTGCCGGAACAATGTAATCCATCTCATGGATCAAAGTCGTGATGGTTGCCACATTTCCGCATTTCACCAACACCACTGGCCCAATATACCAGGCTGGCTTGGTATGTCGTCCACTGTGAGCTTTTAAGTGTGGATTTCAAATTCGCCCTAGTCATGTTTGCTGGAGTGGCGTCGATGTTTGCCCGGTTGTCGGGACCCAACGAATCACCAGAGACGTGGCGCGCTATAACAATTATCAGTCAGTCAGACAATACATCATAGTAGAAGTCTTGTCTTCTTTGAAGACTGGCTTCAGGGTTGGTAGATGATTTTCTTGTGTTGAAACTGGAAGGTGGTGGGGAATTGGGAAGCGTAGTCGGGTTGAATTGCACTTCTGAACTAACAGTACTGGCGTCGACCAACAGATCTACATCTCAAGTAGTTGAAAATATGAGCCATGTTTACTTCCACCGTTCTTCAACTGAATGTCGCTTAAAGGCGACAAGAACCAGGGTGCAAACTTGTCAGGGATTCAAGATGGCAAATGCCGAGACCGAAGCAACGACTAATTCTTGGCAACATGGGAGATTCGATTAACTCCTGCTAAGGGTAAATGACATAAGTATGATATCGGAAGAGAGAGAGAGATATTGCGCACTCTGCATCAGAAGACACTAGTAAGTGCAGCTCCATAATCTGTGTAAGACGAGTTCATCTTCTCAATGTCGTAATCGTTCCAGTACCCTCCGCCCGCCACAGCGTATTGGGAGAACCAGCTTTCGAACCGTTGTTGGGCTTGAGCCGCGGTCGTTCCTTGAGACGGCTTTGCGTCATTGACCACCCACACAAGAGGGATCACCTTTATCCCGAGGGCAGTCTGCCACGTTCCAGGATTGTTGCCAGCTCCGCCATCGTAGACTTGGAGGTACACCCTATCGAACAGACCAGGTTTTGCGGATTCAACTTGCGTTCTGACGTTCGCCCAAAAGCCACTGTTGGTGTACGGCGCAATGGAATACTGGTACCCCATCTCCCCGAGCATCTGGGCAAAACTGACTGTACTCGCCACGTCGTAGACACCCTCATCGTCGTTGTTGAATGCATCAAGATCCCACTCTGCCTTCAGAATCTCAAAGTTCTTGAACAACTTTGTGCCAGACCCTGTCCCGTCTGCGTTGATCAAGTCGCGGATGATCTGGAATGTCGTGTCATGTGACACCAGCGAGATCTCTACTCTGTTGATGTTGGTCGTGCCCGTCTTGAAGGACTTAACCTTTTCCGCCAACGCGGTTCCGCCAACATATGAGCCATTCGTCACTACGGGCGCGTCGACTGCCTCGCCCGCATCTCCGGTCGAGTAGTAGACAAGATCGCCATTGCTGAGGAGACCGATGCGGAAAATGAGGAGGGTGTCGAAGCCGGAGGTCTTGAGTGCTGTGGTGTTCGACTGCAGAACGTCCTTGAAGAGGAAAATGCTCTTCACGCCGGCGGCGACTGCGGTATTGACAAAGAGTAACAGTAGCACCCAAGTCAGAGTACACAGACTAATCTCCTTGGAGGCTCCCATCGTTGCGTGCAGGATGACCTGGTCTTCTTGAAGAAGCTATGCAAATATCAGCTTCCAACGAGCTGGTCAATTGTGAAACGACCGACCGCGGTCTTTATGGACAGCATCAGTCCATAACAAGAATGGAAGCAATAGCTTCTTGAGCTGCAGACGTAACGTAACAAATGCAGTGACACGGCGAGCCAGGACGAAAGGAGTCAATTGCGACTCTGTGGTTCGTCTTGATTGGCCAATGCCCCGCTGCCAATGCATACCCATTCGCTCGGACTTGCTGAGGTTATCGCGCCGAGGGGTTGCGATCCGGCCGAGATAACCTGATCTTGGACTCCCAAGTCTCCCATTAGGCTTTCTGCAACCCCGAATGCGACCTGATCCTTCGAAATGCTACGATCTGTAAGCGCTGGTTGAATGCCTTTAGGAAATCGCTGTGAAGACGAGGCAGATCGTCTTGGCTTTCCCCGCTTAATATCTGCCACCTGCCTAGAACAATCCTCGGTGCCGAAAGTCGGAATCGCTACCCCTCTCTTACTGAAATCGGAACGGATTAATTGATTAAATTATCTGAAATGCTGTAAAGAATAGAGAAAGATGCGCCCCCGAGCCTGTGATGGCGCCAACCTCGCGGGAAATTATAATGTACTGTTTGGCCACGACGTCATCTGAATATTAACTATGACTTGTGATTTCTCGTTTTTCATGCTGAGTCTAATGCCGTTTCATACCCGCAACCTTGAGCATTGTAATCAGGTAGCATTAATCACTGAAGGGAGGCTACTCGAGAGATCGCATGGCAGGCCAGTACTTCTATGCAGGAGAGAGTACCTGTGTCAGATAGTAAAGCTCCGAATTCTCTCAAAAAGCAGAGGTCATCTAGTTGCGTTAGAATGCGTTGGTGATATCAGTTGCTAGGTGTCTTGCAGAGGAGTCTACCACTTTCTCCCAGTATGAACCATGAGCAGCCCATCGTTCCATCATATTATTTCACATGCACCTATACAAAAATCAGCAACAATGCATTTAGTAGGACATACAGGGCACTCACTCTCATCTCCTTCCCTCTCAGCCTGATTCATTGGCCTGAGTTCTTCACTCGTATCGGAGGACAGCAACCTTGGCTATGGAAGACGAGTTATGAAAGAACAGCTCCAAAGTCAAAGAAAAATCAAACGCCCACATCGGTAGGAAAAGGGCCAGTACTTCAAACCTAGCATGGAAAGGTCGATAGTAAAACGTATCGCAGCACATGTATCAAGCGCTGCCGTCGGTGTGGGCGTCCAATCGATCTCGCTGAGATCGTAACCCCCAGCAGAGAATAGCACTGGCGACCCGACCTCGGCCCCCCTCGAGCTACGGTCCAGGAGGTATAAATTGGCCGAAAGAAGCCCACACATAGTTCGTTCCAGAAGGCGGATAAAGCAAGCCCGGGGACCTGGTTGACTAATCATAGACTTGATGTCTTCGGTGGGCTGGATGTCCCAGTCGTCGGTGAATTCGAACGCGATATGCAATGGTCGGGCTTTATCATTTTGAAAGAAAGGACGGAGGGCGGATAATGCGTCTCCGACGGAGACATATGCGTCGGGTGCAACTTGGAAGATGATGAGATCTTTGCCTGGAATGATGCTTGATCCGGAAGCGCTTCGTGCACCCTGATTGCGTTGTTTAGAAAAGCTGCAGCCGCTAGCAGGATTCACCAATGTTGCGTAATGCTTTTGAACCACGTCTCTGGACTCCTTACAGGCGGACCAAAGGCCGGAATCGACGCGGTATGTCGAAGGGTCTGACTCGGACCACGGACACCGCTCTCTTGGTGTGTATGTGGGATTGGAAAGGACATAGGTCTTATCTTGGTGGACTTGCGTGGGTTCACTATGTCTAAGACCGGTTGACGCAGTATTCATAATTCGTTCTTTGATAGAGAAGACATGGAAAGCCGGGGCTACACACCGAACATTACAATCCCACACTTGTGGTCGCACCTCGGCAGGGAGTAAGCCGAGTTTGTGGAATGTTGTAGCCATGGTTAATCGATAGTCGGGTTAGGACCTTGGTGGAGTTTCCGAACTGTTGTTGATGTAGAATTCTTCTCGGTATACGATGTAGGATACGAATAGATCGAAAAATGGTTTTTTGATATATTTCAGGCGTTGCGAGATGCTGGACATGTGCTAGAGAGATAAAAACTTGATAACAATGGCGGAAACAGTGCCACAGGTTCTGTCTACCTTTTGGCTTCATGCCCTTTACGGGTCGGCCATCCATCGCCTTGGGGTCCAAATGACTGAACCGCAGGATTCATGAACTTTGTTCTGGAAGTAAATGGATGACGTTGTTTGCTACGTCTTGGAAATTTAAGCTACCGTATATGGGTATGCTGAAGTTGAAGTGCTCATTACTTGGAGCTGGTGTTGTTGGATCTACACTCGAAGAGACTTTCGTCTACGATTTAAGTCACCTCAACGGCTGATGATCAAGACACAGCTCGACAACAATGACGTTGTCGGGAGGAAGACTCTTCACTATATCCCTAGGATAAATGAAAATAGCAAGCATGAGTGATGCATCATCTTCAAGATTGAGCCTGTCCACCAACGAGAAATGAAGTAAGAACTTGTATCGGAATGAGCACCAGCCGGCCACCCTAGACGCCAGAGTCCAGAATTTGCCCGAAGCCTGTTCTTCTCAACACACAACCGCTTCATTTGAACTACCATACATCGCATTTCTAGGTTCGTGCGTCGCTGGGACCTCGCATTCGGACCTGATTGGCGAAACTCTCAACTTCAGCTGGCGTGAAACTCTTCGCCGAGAGACATGGATGCACCAGGAAGAACTCGTTCAGGGCCGCCTATGATGAATATGTGTTATGGTGCAGATTTCAGCTCTCAATTTCACTACCTCATAGATGTGGTTTTGGGGCATTCATGCAAGCTCAGTAGATGTTAGCTGTCATCTGGTTTTCAGATATGTTCTGGCACCTGCGTTCAGACGCTCAATTTCTCTAATGGGCAGCGACAAGAGTAGAGGTAAAGGGAGAGGGAGCAATTCATGAGATTGAATATGCAATCTCTAGGAAATCCTCTCTTATCACAATGCTGCTCTTTCTATCCGACCTTGGCTGTCTAGTCTCTTAAAACCATCTAGGGGGTGACAACCCAGACACCTCAAGCTCATCGCACCATTCAGATCACGAAAAAGCCACACAATCACCGACTCTCAAGCACATCCCAAACAACCTCCTCATGAACAACATGCGTCCCAACACTCAACGCCGCACCCGTCATCAACAACACCTCGCAAGGCAAAGCCCGATCCCCAATCCTCACAGTCCGCCTCCACCCTTCCCCCTCCCTCCACTCCCACCTCTCTGCCGCAACCTCTTCCCCGACCCTCGAAATCCCCTGACAGAACCGCCCCAACCACACAACCATACCCCGCGCCTTGCTTGCCTCGTCCTCGAACTTGAGCACAACACACTCGACGCCCTTCTGAGCCTCGCCCTCGGCCACGGCACCGACCGGAGGCACAGCAACGGGCTCAACGTCCCTCCACAGCTCTTCGTAGTCCGTCTCCGTGCCGGTGGCGGGGTTCACCATCCGGCCCTTTTCGAGCGTCAGCCCGTCGGGCTGCTCGTACATGTCGCCCTCGTCGGCCGCGTTCTCGGGCTCCGTCGTGCGCGAGTCGATCCAGTGCTCCCAGCGCGAGTGGCGCACCTCGGCGCCCTGGTCGTCGGTGCGGGTGGATGATGAGGAGGTTCCCGCGATGCCCCATTCCAGGCGCTCGATGCCGTGCGTATCTTTTGTGGAATGTTAGCCTGGGAGTGTCTGGTACTTGTGGTGGCTTTGAGCTCCTGGGCTAGAACTCGTGTGCTCACGACGTGGAAGTTTACCTTGTACGCCATCCACGGTTGGCGTTTGCTTCAGAATGCGGAGATCCACGAAGCGGCGCTGCGGGGACGTGAGCACTATGGTCGACGTCGGCTCGCTCGCCTCATCGGGGATCCAGCGGATGTGCTCGCGGAACGAGATGCTACCCATGGTTGATGAACGGAACGTGAGAAGATCTAGAAATGTGTCTATGCTGCAAATGACAGTGGTTCACAGTTGAGGTTGTGTGATATGCAACATTGAAAGGCAAGGCTATGTGGTGGTGGTGATGGTGGGAGGGGAATAAACAAGGTCACACGGGCGAAGGTGTCGATTGAATCGTCGATGTCGCGCAGATCTCCACTTTCAGCCGATGAAAAGCCTCACGCCGTCATCGCCCGCCGATCCGGAGCCTCCCTCAGAATCTGGGCGCTTCCAACGGCTTTTCAGCACGTCTAGGTACGTTGTTCGGGAATCTTTATTCTCAGTGTGAGCTCTATGATCTTAGTCTATGTATAATGTCTGATGTTTTTACAACCGTTTCCTCTCACTCACGGTCACACTTCTTGCAACGAAAAAGCAGTGACGCGCCAGCCCACAACACCTTACGCAGCCTTCTCGAGACGCTCGACAATGTCGACGAGACCCTTTATCTTTTTCTCGCAGTCAATTTTGCTCTGCTCTTGCGCCTCGTACGTCTCCCGTAGCCGGTCGACCATGAAGGGCTTCAGCGGCGCCCTCTTAGCGGTCTTGTAGTCGTAGACCACAATATCCTCGAAGCAGCGGGCGGCAGGGCGGCGGTGACCGTCGGAGATAAGAAGGGCCTCGAGTAGGATGAAGTCTGATTCATATGTCGGCTTGGAAGCGAGCTTATGGAGGACCGTCACGTGGTCTGGGTAGGCCATTGGCTTCAAATTGAGGAGGTTTGTCAGTGTGGGCGATTCAGGTATTTCTGACTCAATCGCTGTGGCACTAAAGGATATAGCGACCTCAAATGCCTGTTGGTTCAAGTTGATAAGAGTGACACTTACAAACTTGTAGTCCGTCTTGATGCTTCTCATGATGAGGCCAATGCCCTTCGGGCTCATGAGCTGGTCCCACTCATGCTTGTGCTCAGGATCCACCGTCGTCGCAAAGTTACGAAGCCAGTTGACCCGCGCCGACTCGGCGTACTTGTTGTAAACGACATTGTTTACATGACCTATGGATGTGAGATTGAGATTCATGGTGTCTTCGGGGAGCGAGCTATACCCTGCCGTAGGTTAGTCCATGTTCTCCCTTCCTTCGTGGAGTTAAGCCCGGGTCAACTCACCATTGCATCCTGAAGTCCATCGTAATCAGCACCGACCCAATTCATCTGGTCTCTTGAAAACTCATGGTATGACAAGAACTCACCTGGTCTCCCCAAGTCACTGTATGTCTATCGAGGCCCCTCCACCCAGGTCCCGTGAGGAATCCCTCCCGTCCAGCGAGCAACTCCAACCACTGCCCATCGACAGCCTTCCGCAGAGCCGTCAGCTCCTCCTTCTGCTGCCCGCTGAGGTCGAGTCCGGCGCACCGCTTGATGCGCGACTGCAGCTCAGAAAGCCATCGCGGATTCAGCGGCGGCGCAGATGCTGGACATGAAGTAGCGGCGGCGAGACTCTTTGCGGCGGTGGTTACGAACGATCGACGGGGGGTTTGAGGGGTCGAGAGGCGGGCCAGGCCCGAGCTGAGGGCGATTGAGTTGCGCATCTTTGAGTTGCGTACCGCGGGTGTCTATTGATCCAAAGTGAAGAAAAAGAAAAGACAATGCTAGTGAAGCATGGGATGGAGAATCTGATCCCAAGTCCGGCGAAAGGTGGATGACGGGATAGTGAGGAAATTCGGCTTCCGTCGGCTACGCGTTGCGAGTCGGTGCAGAATAAGGGAAGATACTCCGTAAGATAAGGCAATTTGAGTGCACGCCGGGTGGAAGTGGATGTTGGAAGTTGGATTTGACCTGAAGGCTGGCCCTTTCCAGCGGGTTCTTGTTGCAATTTTCGGGCTGCGTTATTGCCGCCCGCTGGTTTGGGTCGGTAGTTGGAGCGCGCCCTTTGTGTTGGTAAGGAGCCATAGGGCGTGGGGGGGTTCCGGCTCGGATTTTCGGTACGAAGAAGATATGTGTCTATTTGCATAGAGTTGGTGCAGAGTCGCAGCTTCTACGATGAAATCGACTTGAGGGTTCCATCGTATGCGGTATCCTTAGTAGGCCGAGCTTGCTTTCTCGCATTATCGCTGTGCCTCTATTCAAACCTGGGGTCAATCTGGCGGGGTCAATGATTCACACCTCCAAGATCCGGAGCCCAGGCTTAGTGATGAAGCTTCTTCCCTGGTGATTTGGCGGCGTGCGTCTGCCTCTTTTTAGGAGAGAAAGCCTCAATACCTTCCATATCCTGCAACCTTTAGTTCGCGATCTGCTCATTCTAAATCATCCAGTCCGATGTGTTGAAATCGATGCGCCCAATAAGCCACACATCAACTTGCAGCAAGATGTTGAGCTCCGCCAAGTGAGGTTGGAGTTTACCTTTGGTACGTGGCGGTGCATGCGATGCAACATTGGCGAAACCCCTCCATCTCTCATGGAATCGGCGATAATCATGTCAATTGTCCCCTGTTATCTGAGGATATTTGTGCCACTACCCGCAGTCCTTCGCTGAAGATTGGCCTTTGTTGCCCCCCGTGGAAGCGATGAAAGGACCCCCCGGCTGCACCCGGTCCGCGAGACGCGCTGATTGCTGAAGGGTTTTGGCCAGGGGTCGGGTGCATGCCCATCTCCAGGACCCTGAGAGAAGCTGAGGTAAGCATGCGTTCATTACGTAATTATAATGTGGAATTTCCATGCTTATCTAAGTGAGTATACCGTAGCATGAACATGGGGAAGCAAGAAGCAGTAGCCAACCAGGCTACGTCCTGCTGGCAGTTGCGTCCCGCGCGGCGGGGGGAACCTGGGCGGAAGGCAGCTCCGAGCTGCAACGGGAGCGATGGTCATAGCTTCCTCCTCCTCCTCCTCCTCCTGCCTTGCCTGCCCCACCTTCCAGATCAGGGAGGACACCGGACCGACCAACGACACTGCAGTTTGCCAGCGCGCATATGTTAAAAAAAAAAAAAGCCCAGTGCGTTTTTATGGGCGGCGCATCCGGTTGACGCGTCTGTCTGGGTTGGACTCTTTGCGATGGTCCCGTCAGCCAAAAGAATGCATACGTTTTCTAGACGATTAATACTCTTGATCTAGATCTATTCTACTCTATCATACGTATTCTTCATGACTCTTTCGACGTGAATGTCGTTCTAAAGGCAGGTTATGGAAAGGGAAAGGGGAACCCTTGTGGTACACGCGTCAAAAGTCAAAACAATGAAGTCGCAGCCTCGCTGGAGTATCTGGACCAACTGCCACGAGGCTCAACAGACTGTGACTGTAGGTATCCTCATACAGAGTGTCCAATTCAGGGTCTTTCCAATCAAGAATACTATCGCAGGACATATCTTTTGCTGCGAAGGATTCACCCTCGAGAGGGCAGGTAGGCGACAGTCCAGCGAGGCTACCCGCGTGCCTTACTGCGAACATTCGCTTCCTGCCTATCAGACCAAAAGCCTGTTACGTAGGTTATCAAGTCAATATTTTCGCAGAAGGGCTCGAAAAAACTTTCTAGAGATTGATATAATTACGAATTACTGCCGTTGATAATGTGTTTCGCGACGGAAGGTGCTGGCTGCTGTAAAGCAGCACCACGTGACACACGTGCTTTCCTTCCCCCTTTTTCGTTACCGCGAGTTGGTAGGTCGCAAGATTTCCTATGGCCTCGTTGCCAGAATTGTCTCTAGATTGACATCGATCTCTCTTGAGTCATTCTCTCAATCAGGCTCGACAACTGTTTCTATGTTTCAGACAAGTTGACGATGTGTTGGCCATGCCAATTTGTGAGGCGGTGACGGACAGACACACGTGTTCTGCTCCTCCACCTTGGGCAGACATGCGTCAATCTTGAAGCGCCAGCCTAGAGAAGAGCAACACTGATGCAAAGACAGAGAAAAATGTTGAACAAGTGAGAATTGAAGTCTTATCAGTTCACAGCGAGAGTTTTGTCATCATTTATAAGTGTGCAGCGGTGGTATCCCGCTTTTGAGTGAAAGCGCTGGTGAAATGCGAATAGCTTCCATCGCGTCTTTAGCACAGGAATGAATAAATGGCGCTGGCGGCACGGAACCAGCTTCGAATTGCCCAGAAACTCATGGACCGATGAGGGCAGTCACTGCGATACCGTAGAAGACGTGATTGACAAGTTTAGGCAACAGGGTGGACGTAGGCACGCGGACGAGGCGATGCACCTTATTTTACCGGTCGCGTGGCCCCATCGCGATGGCATGAAACGATATACTCGGTGTAAGTCAAATCGGGCCACGAGAATGTTAGAAATTCAACAAAAATACTGCCGAGCAGATCGTCGACCTAGATGATGAAATCCGGTGTTTCTTTGATAAATTTCGTGGTGCTGTTGATAATTGCGACGAAGGTTGTGCAAGATGTGCGGATAGCTTCAATTTGGACGAAGCGCGACCGAATCACAACAGTCGGGGTTGGGGGTTGGGAGTGCGCGCGCAATATCAGGGCCGCAACACGCGATAAACAGAGAGAAAAGTGCACCGAACGATGGAGAAAAATTCGAGCAACAAAATAGTTGGATTAGCGCGAGATGAAAGCAAAAGCTAGAGGCAGGAGGGCGGATGCGACGGATGGCATTGGCGGTCGGGGTTGAAAACGAAGATGAGCGATGATGCAAAATCGGGCATCTCGGCGGGGGAAAGGCGTGACAATGGGAGGGAAATTGGGGCCGGGTCGGAGGACGGTGGATCGGCAGGTGCGAGACGCAAAAACGTGGCAACGGCGAGCCATGAGTCATTTTTCGTAATGGAGGGTGAGTAAATGGGAAGAAGAGGGAATCAAGAGGGAAGAGAAAGAGGAGAAGGGCGAGGAGAGGAGAGGGTGGTTGAGGTGGGCGATGAGAATGAGTTTGGTGGGAGATGGGAGACCCGCGAACGTGTGCGGCATCAGAGACTGAGCAGGGACGGAGCGATACTGAGCACTCGGGACGGGGAGGGGAAGGAATAACGGTCCATGGTCCACGGGGAAGCAGGCACCTCATGCAGGACCTCACGGCGAGGAATATTTGGGCCAATCAGAAAAAAGGAAAGCAGACAAATTTTGGACAATAAAAAGGTGACAGAAGGGAAAATGGAGGATAAGGTACAAGGGCAATGTATCTTTTGTTTGCCTCCCCGTCCGGTCTGGTGCTTTCTACATTCTGAGGCAATTGAGCGTGGCAGAAAACATGGTAGTTTGGATGGGAAAGAACGGGCGGGTGGTGCATGTGGCAGGTGCAGGAGCCAGGAGCCAGGAGCTAGGCGGGGACCCGGAGGAAGGAGGGAAAGAACCATGCACCTCCTTCCTGAGACTCTGGGACTGACTGGCTGATCTTGAACTGCCCGGCGGGAGGAAGGCGCAGAGAAGTTGGATGAAATCGCGCCTTCCACGGTTCTTCTGCCCTGTGTCCACCTCACCATTGAGGGCAGGAACTCGGGGCATTGGGCTAATGGGAGGTACCTACTACGGCTATGGCTCTGTCCTACCTACCTTAAGTCATCTCACTCCATTGTTCTTAGTTCTCGTGAGGTGAGTCTCATCTCACAGACTCTCACACCTCAAACTCACTAGGAACGGCAGTAGAAAAACACCAGAAGACTACCCTGGCTCTCTTAGGGCAGATGACTGGAGCACCCGTTGAGGGGTGCAGCGTGGCGACCGGCGAGGGGAGATGTGCTGGAACCACCCACTATCCATACAGTAGCACTCACTATCCGTAAGGAGGAGTGCGGCGTGCCTTACATCAACCCTGGGGCGGACAGGGAAGACCAAGGACCCGTCCAGGGTGTGTCGGCAGAGACGACAGCAGCCTCAGAAGCTTCATGCATAGCCTGGAGCTTGGGGCTGGGGAACTCGAGTGCTTCCGGCGACGGAGGTGAACTGGGCTGATTGATCTGAGCTGAGCTTTGGTTGGGATGAGAGGTGAGAGGCGCTACTTGGCCGCCGTCCGCGTCTTCCACCAACTCAAAGGGCAGCCCGTTCGACTCGACTAACCGTTACCGTTTGTTTACCAGAACAATAAGAGATACCACTTGACAATTCAAACGTCAAAATAGATACCGAAGAAAGAAGGACCGGTCCAATATCAAAGGGGCAGAAGAAAGAGGCCGTGGACTGAGGTGAACGAGGCCGTGCTGGAATCTGTCACCAGCCGAGGATTTCTTAGAACACCCACCATACCATCGCGGCGGCTGTAGTCCTGGACACGTCCAAAATAGACACGCACGTCTCTCCCGCTCCCGCGCTAATCGGCGATTTGAGTCGAAGAAGGGACGCCGCCGACGACGGATGAGGACAATGAGGTTGATTTGGAAAATAAGCGGGAAGAGACAGGAGATACAATGAGCCGTGGAAGGTCGAGACATGCAGACGTCAAAGGGCATCATCTAAGAGCTGGGGGGGCTCTGTGGCATGCTGTCGTCTGTCCGGACACATCACAAACGAACTCGACGTATCCGTAGAGCTGCCAGGCTGTGGGCCTACACCGTTCATAGTTCTGGAGAGAAGCACCCTTCCGAATCGCCCAGACCCTTGCCAGATCCAACGGGGAGACATCTTTTAAGTTTATTCTAGGCTATCGTGGTCACTTGATGGTATCATTGGTGTGTGAACCAAGTGAATGAGTGAGATGTGAAGAGAAAAAAAGGGAACGAGGAAAAAGAGGGTGCCATCTCTGAGGGGGGGGGGGGGGAGACTCGGGAGTGAGTGAGATGGGAAGTGAGAGAGAGACTGAAAGTTGAGAGGGGGAAGGCCCAAGGCCCCCCAGTCCGCGTGATTTAGCGACCGTCCCCCCCAAAATGGACGGGGGATTTGGAGGGCCCAAAAGGCACCCGCACCAAGCCAAGAGGGAGCAGGAGGAGGAAAAAAAAAAGAAAAAAAAAAAAAAGAGAAGGCACCTCAAGGCTCACCCTCAAAAATCCAACGCCCGCGCCCGCGCCCTCAGGTCGTCTCCCCAAAAAGTTACTGATTGCGCACCGCGCCCAACGGCCCCCGCCCATTTATAAAAACAAGCCCCATCCCCTCCACGCACGCGCTCCCCCTCTACCCTCTCGTTCCGGATCTCCTCATCTCTCGCCTCTCTCAATTACCACAACGCGTCGATTCTAATTCTCGCAACTTTCCTCAAAGTACACCCGTCTTCAAACCGACTTCAATCGACATTTCGATTGAATCCTGCTTCACAGCAAACCTCAACGCTTCACGCATCCATACAACCCCCCCAAAACAATCACAATGCCTCCCAAGAAGACCGAGGGCGCCGCTGCTGCCCCCAGCAAGAAGTCCACCCACGCCAGCTACCAGGTTTGTACCTCAACCAGTCCGGCTTTTTGCATGACGCGTTGGTTGCTAACTCTCTACAGGACATGATCACTGATGCCATCGTTGCTGTATGTTTTACCGCTCCTCCATCTCCGGCGCAAAGGGTTACGCGATCGAGAGACCCACGGGTTGGGTCAGCTGCCATTCGCGCCTAGCGCCCGTGACCTTCGATCGCGCTACCCTCCACCGCCTCGACGATGGTCCACCTATTCTTGTGTTCCTCTTAACTGACTCACCATCCCTCCTACAGCTCAAGGACCGTAACGGATCTTCCCGCCAGTCCCTGAAGAAGTACGTCAAGGCCAACAACCAGATCAACACCGTCAGCGACAACATGTTCGACTCTCTCTTCAACAAGGCCCTTCGCGCCGGTGTTGAGAAGGGTGTCTTCGAGCAGCCCAAGGGTACGTCACCGCCTGTCTACCTGTCTATCACCTTGAATCATTGCTAACATCCCCTAAGGTCCCTCCGGTGGTACCAAGCTCGCCAAGAAGGCTCCTAAGCCCGCTGAGAAGAAGGCCCCCGCGAAGAAGGAGGCCAAGGAGCCTAAGGAGAAGAAGGCTGCTGCGAAGAAGGAGACCAAGGAGCCCAAGGAGAAGAAGGCTGCCGCTCCCAAGAAGGCCGCCGCCAAGAAGGAGACCAAGGAAGCCAAGGAGCCCAAGGAGAAGAAGGCCGCTGCCCCCAAGAAGGCTGCTGCTGAGAAGAAGGAGAAGAAGCCCGCCGCCAAGAAGGCTGCTGCCGTACGTTGATCAACTACACCTGTCGCCTTCTCATCACTAACATAGTCACAGGCCAAGGAGGAGAAGCCCGCCGTCCTCAGCAAGACCAAGACCGGTCGTGTCACCAAGACAGAGAAGAAGGCACCGGCCACCAAGAAGGAGGCAAAGGAGCCCAAGGAGAAGAAGGCCGCCGCTCCCAAGAAGGCTGCCGCCCCGAAGAAGGCAGCGCCCAAGAAGGCCGCCGCCGACAAGAAGGAGGCCAAGGCTGAGGCTCCCGCTGCCACGGCATAAAGGGTCATTCTTGCTTTTTTCCCTTACCTTGAACGATGATGCAATGCCGAGTGCTCTGCTCGGCTCTCCGCACAACTGTTTTTGTGTCACGAAATCTTGTCGAAAGGCGTTTACGGGAGTTGTTATTTAACTAACTGGGAAAGGGCAATGGGCCGGGAAGCGTTGGTGGGAAACCAACCTGGGGGGAAAACGCAACTGCGTTGTCTTGTGTCTTTGTGTTTTTTTTCTTGTCTTGATGCTCTTTTCTATATGGATGTTGCGGCTGCTTTTGATTGAGCGCGACGCGTGGTTGGGGGGCTTGGGATTGTGTTGAATGCTTTGAGAGAAGATTCCCGCTTTGGCGACACGAGACGGATTCCCCCTTCCGACTACTGTAACTATAGCTCGCGCGATATACCAACGATGGGAGCCTTTCACTGTTCAAACGATGTTTCTGCTGATTTGTGCAATTCTCGCGATGTGAACTGGCGCGTCCAGCTTGACAATCTGAACAGCAAACGGCGAGACTGATCAGAGGGAAGTGTCCTCAGGGGCACGGCAAATGCGGCGCCTCGCTTGCAATTACCGGGTGGCACTGGAAGGAAATGATATTACATGATACGAATTGTTTACCGTCTCGTTTGATGTTCGCCTGGATCTTGGCTGAGCTTCTAGGTATTGGTACGCCACACGAGAACGACCTCTCTTCTGGTTGAGACGCGATAAGAGTGGCAGCAGCATAGGAAAGGGAGTGAAATTTTTGGGAACAACGTGCTGAGGTGCCGCCATACCGTAAGGAGGATGAATGTCTAGGAAAACGAGGACGCGCCGTGAGAACCCGTAGACTGGGCCCCTGGGCAAGGTACCGTCACCGTGTTTCTCCCCCATGGCAGTTTCGTAGTGGAGCCGACGCGGTTCATCCTTCCCAGGGTCTTTTTTTCTTTCTTGTTTACATTTATGGAACATTTCCTAGGCCCCGGCTCCGTATGTTGATTGATTGAAGCGCCGGACGGGCCACCGCGTCGCCAGAAAGGAAGGAAGCAGAAAGAGATAAGGCTGTGAGGGGAGGCCAGCTCAAGGTAGCTTGAACACGGGGGGATGTGAGAGGCTTGAGAGCTGAAGGGTGTCCGTGCCGTTGGTGAAGTTGTCACGTGCGCGCTCTCTCATCTCTCATGGCCCGACAGCAGGGAGCAAGAGTGCCTTTTTGTCTATTCTATTTGACTTTATCTTGAAATAGAGGTCAATCTGTAGTTTAGTAAATATATTTGGATGTGTGGTACAATTCAAGCTGTAGCGGTCTGGGGGGCATTGTAGTTCCATGGCTGCTCTGGGTTGACCTTTTTACCCCTCCTCCTCGGGCTTACAATCACTACACTGTGGGTGAGACGTTTTCTTAGTGGTCTGACTTTGGGACCGGATGTGACTTGGTCTGAGACGAAGCGGCGCCCGTCGCCGGTGATGGGTTTTTATAGTCTGGCATAGGATAGTCCGGTTGAGCTATGGGATTCTCTACGAAGGGGTATTTCAACAAGACCTGTCCTGTCACCTGTGTCGCTATCTGCGGCGGTTGCCAAGTGCGAAAGACGTAAGCAGATGAGAGAGTGTGTGAGTGAACTTGGTCCTCAGAGCAACATGTTTCGGCGCTGCGGTTTTCCCCCCTCAAGTTGATGACTCTTTGGTCTGAGTCGTGAGTGAGGAATCGTTTGGCCAGCTTTTCGGGATTGTGGACGGCCTACGTGCCCCTTCTTACGTACCATGGAAACGTGTCGGATGGTTGTTCAGCAGTATTTTGAGTTGAGAGAGGATAGTTGCGCCGGCCTACGGTGCCCTGTGGTCGGCGAGTGGGACCTCCCCCGGGGATGGGCGGACTGGGACGGGTTGACACGTGCGATGAGGAGGATGGTGCCACACTAACTATGTGCTGGGTGCTGGTCCTGAGGTGGGTGGTGGTGCTCACTAGGAATGCTGTGTATGTGAGCACGACTAGTATTAGTGCTCGCTGTTTGCTCTTCTTTGCAGATAACTTTTCATATAGGTAGTCCCATTGACGGTCAGCAAACTCGTATGATGGAGTGTACAGCAGAAGGACACTGTGGATAGATAAGTGAGTCCCGTGAAATGGAAGCCCGGCCGTGTTGGATAGAGATTATCACGTGGGTAACCGCGGTGCCGTTGAGGTGTTTGACAGTTCCGTTTCCAGCGTCTGGCAGGATGGGGGAGCGAGAGTGATGGAGGAGTCTGAGAGGTGGCGGTGCGGGGAAATCGCCTTGGGGAGAGAGCGAAGACTGGGAAGAAGAGGTGGCAGAGAAAGTGTCACGGGCAGGTGTAACGGCGTCAAGTGGTTGAGCTTGGAGCTTTTTTCAGAGACGGCGAACAGAGGTGGAGAAGTTGGCCGCGGCTCTTCCATCAACCCCTCTCTGTGGCCTAGACTGGCTGATGGTTGTCACGTTGCTGGCGTTGGTGCAGGTACGGATACATGTTGCGTATCGTGCGGTGCCGTGAGGTGTAAGGTAAGGTACCTTGAGGCAGGTGTATTGGAGACGTCGCTCGGCATGAGGTCCGGGCTGCCAGCGCGTGAGCAAGTGGTGCAGAGCGGTGCGGTGCGGTGCATGTTGCAGGTGTCCAGTGGACCTACGGTGACTGTGACTTGGATGACAAGGAGTGACGTGGATAGCTAGCCCCGAGCTTGCTTTCCCATTGGTGTTCCTGAAACAAACCTTGATGTTTTGAGGGGGAATGGCGGGCGAGGTGTTGGTCAACTTGGTGCTCAGTTGAGTGTACAACGTGGAAGCGCATTGCGGTGAGGTAAGCAAGGAGGGGAGGGGCAGAGGCGAGGAGACAAGAGACAACCTGGGAACTGTAAGTATGAGAAATTCGGACTATCCGTAGAACCTGGCATCTCGTCTGGGTATCTCTGAGAGTTCGAGTGCTGGTGTAGTATACTGTGTAGGCATAGAAGAATGCGACTTCATGCTGGCCGTCCATCCCCTCACCTGTTGATCCATACGCAATACTGCGTACGCTACTCCGTACACAGCAAAGTGTTGATCCATGTCCCGGGATCCCTGTTGTCAATCCGGAACGGCTTGAGCGACAGGTGCAGGGGGCAACCGTACAGTTGGGGGCGACGCGGCGACGTCCCGGCATGTCGAGGATTGAGAGGAGTGTGATCTGAGCGTTGAAGGGTCCCGTCTTGCCGTCGTACGAGTACACTCACGTAAGGGAACCATGGAGGAGGGTTGATGGTTGTCTTTGCCATTGAGAGTGAGGCGGCACAACCAGGTCTTTGGAAAACGCGACCCTTGAGCTTGAGACCGAGTAAAGGGTCTGAAGAACGGGGAGTGGGATGCGAACACAAGATGGCCGAGGCGGCAGAGAGTGAAGAAACACAGGTCACCGTGAGGCATGAGAGAGGGGGCACGAGGCATAAGATCATACGTCTGTGAGCTGTGAGCTTATGAGTGAGTAAGTAAGTATCCGTATGAAAAAGCATTGGTGAAGGAGTGAGTGAGTTAGTGAGAGAGAGAGCATGGTCTGGCTCGTGCGCATCCATCCTCCCGTCCGTTTCGGGGTATGTGGGGGAGAATGTTGCTGAGGCCAGGCAAGGTACCGGGTACGGAGCACGGAGTACCATACACCATACATACGACTTGTATCTTTCTCTGGTAATACCTTACCTTGGATAAGGTAGGTGATGGCAGATGTTCTTTCTTCGATGGTGCTGACAGGAAAGAAGGGCAAGAGATGGAGAGGAATGTCGCCTTCTTCTCTCTTTCTGTCTACCTCTTACTGCAAAGTACTTGCGTCAGCCTCACTCACTCCCATGATCCATCAGGTTCGACTCTCGAGGCAACACTTCAGGGGGCAGAGCTCGCATTTGCAGCTGCCTTGGCTGGAACAGCAGTAACTGCACGTCTGGAACTTGTTCTCCCTCTCACCCTCTAATTACCTATGAACAAGTACCTATCAGCTCAGGTACCTTCAACTGTCATTACCGTGTCACAGATGTACCGGGCTGAGGTGGAAACAACCAACCGGCCTTACCTGGACTCGGGCGATCTAAACGGGACAGGACGACACCAAACGGGCTCCTCTTTTCCATCATCTCCCCTGCCATTTGCGAATACCTACCTATCTACGTACTCCGTACCTAGGTATCTGCCTTCAGGTATCGTGGGTATGTAATCAGGTACCTACCGCCCGCCGCCAGGTTACATCGGACCCCATCAAAAGTGTCGTCAATCACCACACAACACACAACACAACCCACCTCGCTCTTCGATAACTTTCCTTGGGTTCCAACGATAACCATCTCAGGTACCTACCTACCTTACTTTGCGACCATCGATAAGCAGATAAACCCCCTGGCGCTGGTCTTATCCTCTCCCGCATTGTGTCGAATCGCACCGTACCGTCCCCTCGGACTGACGTCTTGTTCCTGTCCAATCTCATCTCATCATCCACCAACTCCTCCGTTCCCCGTCACGCCCAGTCCAGTCCAGTTCAGTCCAGTTCAGTTCAAACCAAACTTCTATCCGCCAGCACCAGCACTGCCACTACGGACACACACCACTTCTCTCCCCACGCCGTGCCGTACTGCTGCATCTACCAATATTACCCTCGTACTTTAGCTCGTCTACTCTCATCGTATCTACCAGCACTTATCAGCACTTCCTCGTCCAGAACCGGACCGCAGCTCTCTCACTCACTCAACGCAACATCATTCCTCGGCGACTTGGTAAGCACCAGAACGTGGACCCCTCGTTTTCCCCATTGGGCTGCCCGTCACCCCGAACCCGAACCCAATCAATCCGCCCTTCCACCGTCCCTTGCGACTGAAGCACTTGCCAACCGATTCTTCCGGTCAACGAAACTGACGCTCGCCCGCAGTACCCGTGGCCGCACCCCGTACCCCGTACCAGTACCAGCACCAGTACCTGACCATAATAACCCCTACCCCTCGATCTACCCAGCGATCCATCCGAGACCCTCCGCCTGCCCAGTCTGTCTGTCCTCAGTCG